AGAATGCTTTCAGCACCTTGTTGAATCAATGCCATGTAGAATTAAGGCAGTTCTGAAGGCGAAAGGGGGTAAAACACCGTATTAGTATGGTGTTCCTAATAATCCTTTAAGTGAGTGTATATTCAGCATATGCTTTTGTCTGAAGTGAGGAGAGCTTGGGGTCAGAGCACTTGGGGCTAAGGGACTTGCTCAAGGGCTCAACAGTGTTACGATTACTCTGCCTGCCATGGGATTTGAACCAACAACCAAATGGGCAGAGATCCCCAACCTGCTGAGCTCCACACCCCCTGACGATCTCCTTTTTCTATCTCCTGCAGTCCCTGTGGACCTGAGTCCGGAGATGCTCTCTGAACTGGAGGACATCCGGCGGTGGAAAAAAGCCTTTCTGCTGGACCTCAAGAGGCTGCTGGAGGAGCTGAGAGAGGCCATCAAGGAAGTTGAGGGCCTTAACTCCAGCACCAAGAGCAGTAAAGCCTTAAAAAAGAATAGCCATGTTGCCACAGGAAGGAAGAAGTTCAACATGGACCCTAAGAAGGGTATCAAATTCTTAGTGGAAAATGATCTTCTCCGGCACACCCCTGAGGACATCGCCCAGTTCCTATTCAAGGGAGAGGGGCTGAACAAAACAGCCATTGGGGATTACCTGGGCGAGAGAGATGACTTTAACATCCAAGTCCTCCAAGCATTTGTTGGCATTCATCAATTCCCAGACTTCAACCTGGTACAGGCTCTCAGGCAGTTCCTGTGGAGTTTCCGTCTGCCAGGAGAAGCTCAGAAGATTGACAGGATGATGGAGGCCTTTGCTCAGAGATACTGTCACTGTAATCCTGGAGTCTTCCAAAGCACAGACACATGCTATGTGCTTTCATTTTCCATCATTATGCTGAACACTAGTCTTCACAATCCTAATGTGAGAGACAAGCCCAGTGTGGACAGGTTCATCGCCATGAATCGAGGGATCGATGATGGAGGCAACCTCCCAGAAGCACTCCTGAGATCTCTTTATAAATCAAGAAGGAGCTTTTCAAAATTCCTGAAGATGATGGCAATAATATGATGCAGACTTTCTTCAACGCTGACAGAGAGGGTTGGCTCCTCAAACTGGGATGAGGGCGGGTGAAAACCTGGAATAGGCGATGGTTCATCCTGATGGATAACTGCCTTTATTACTCTTGCCCCAGCTCATATGAGGTGAAAAAATCGTCACACACAATTGTACAGCCGGTCAACCCCACCGTCAAGTCCAGCACCACCCTCATTCCTAGCTTGGACTCTGCAGGCTCCGTGGATGGCTTGCCCGTGTAAATCTGGACGTTGTAAGCGTAGCTGGTCGCGCTGTCGCTTGCCACCCAAAGCTTCAGTCCATATTTTCCAGGCTTTCTTGGCATGTATTGCGGGAAAGCACATCGACCTAATAACACATAGAAAGACTGCGTATTTGCCGTCAAATATATCACCACTGTACAGTTCTATCCTGCAGGCAAGTAGAACTAAAACGAAGCGGAGTTAGATCAGTCGACCGTGCTTGAAATAATAAGTAACAAAGACCATGAATTACTTACCTCTGAAGGGGATCAGCCGCTCATCTACGGTGATATGTCCCCCAGGCATATACATCAAGGGCAGCCTCTCCAGCCATGCCTCCCAGATGTCCCTTACGAGGGCCAGCTTATCTGCTGCTCTGCGGCTGGGTCGGGTCTCCCGGTTGTCGAAACAGATTATCGCCGTCAGTGTCCGAAACCGGTCCAGGGACATCGCTGCCACAATGATGGGTCTCCCCATGTAAGGGTCCTAGAGACACTCTGCAGCTTCACCCCTTGACCGGAATATTCCACTCAGAAGAAGCACTCCAATAAAATATCTAATTTCATCCCAATTGGTTTTTTTCCATTCAGTGCCATGCTTCCGTAGCCCTTGCATGTTCGTATACTTCACTACCATCTCTTCCACCATTTTGGGAATAAAAAGTTCGAAGGCAGACAGTACGTCGTGTACGTGTGATCTGCTTATCTTTGTTGGTCCTGGAGTGGATTTTAGGACACATTCTGCTGGTATTCTCCCTGAGGTGGGCAGTCCAATTAGTCTTGAGGACCAAGATATTTGTCCGTTTTTAGACATAAATCACTCTAAGAAAAACTGGTTCTTCATTAGTGCTCTGGAGCACTCTGGGTGCTTTGTAGAACTTTTTTATGCTGGAGAACCTTTTTATGCTGTTTAAGGTTCTTTGGAGAACTGAATGGAAAAAAACACTTCGTCGAATCATTTTCAGTACTTTGAAGAACCTTTTATGTTGAAGTATGACCTTATTTGTAATGGCTACTTCCCCGCATGCCTACTGATTTACTTGTGACTGTTGTACAAATTATTGGTATGGTGCTATTTTTAATTGTAACAGATGATATCTGCTGCTATCTTTTAGAGAGATCAGTTATTAATGTGCAATTTATATAAAGTAACTGATAACGACTCAGTTAAGTTATACCAAACACTACATTTGAACAAATTGAACAAATTACTGTATTGCATACTGCACATCAGGCACGTGCACACATAGAGATCAAAGGGGGCTTGAGCACCTGCCCTTTTTATTCCTGGAGAGAAAGTGCCCTTTTTTCTGGGGTGCTTTTTTTTTTCTTTTTTTCTTGAAAAATAATATATATTCCTGTTTGCGCATAGCTTCCCTGTCA